TTGTAAAACTACCCACCACTTTCTCTTTGGACGGGATTTTGCGGGAGTCAGCCCAGTCATCTTCGAAGAGATGGGTGGCCGAAGGGGACTTTACCTTCTTATCCCGGATAAGCTCATCGAGAGGGGTATACCGGGCAGAGGTAGCCCCTTCCTTTTCAGGCATGTGGGGAGAGGAAGGGGGCTCGGAGAAAAGAGGCTGGTCGCCATGGAGGACTTCATCATCATCCTCATCAAGGTTGACGAACCGGGTGAAGTTCATGTCTGCCAAAAAAGAACAAAACAACAAGTGACCGGATAGATATTTCACCTTAAAAAAAATAGAAGTCAAAAGGTTGAGGAAAGTTAATCGACCTGGATGAGGAGAGCTGGCCTCAGCATGACCTTTCGGGGAGTCAGCCCGGTCATCCTCTGCATCATGGGTCGCAGACGTACCCCCATCCGGGTTGGGTAACCGGTACACCCAGCCTTCGTAAGCGTATGGCTTCCTGGTCACAGGATCACCCTTGAGAAGTTTCTCGCAGGCGTCCTCAAGCTCAGGCGTGGGCTCCGGATGAACCCTTTCAGGTTTTATAACCCGGTCAGCCCACTCAGGGTTAGAGAAAGGGAATTGATCAGAGGGAAACTCAATGAAAACAAATCTTTGTTTCCATTTTTTGTGACTAGGGGGAAGATCGGTCACAAATCCCCTTTTGTTACGGGAATGGAAATAAACTAGCCCGGGCAATTACTAGTCCTGGGCAAGACTTCGAACATGTGGAGAAAGAGTTCGAGGGAAGGTTTGATTTTTAAAGATTCACAAATATTGACAAAACAATTTAAGAACCGATGAGCATTGGGAGTGAGCTGACCGGGTAGAATGTGAAACTTGTTACAGATTTCGATAAGGAGGGGGCGGAGAGGAAAAATAATGCCTCCCTCCAGAGAAGCAACATGGAAACCCAACCGGGTTCCTTGGTGGGGTTCTATGATGTTGGGCGAGGAGGTTTTAGAAAGGACTTTATAGCCCGGTGGGAGGATGGTACGAACCTCGGCCAGAACCTTTTTTGTGACCCGAGAAGATTCTTTGAACACTGGCCTGCCATCAAGGGCTAGGAAGCCCATGGATCCCAGTCGTTCTTCCCAGTCCTCCCAATTGAGGACCTTGGGATTGAACGAGCTGGGAAGTTGGTTTAAGGGGACAGACTCCTAGGCAATTATTTCCCGGGCCTGAGTATTGGGCTTTTGGGATGAGCGACGGATTAGAGGAATGGCAGAGGGAGAAGAAGAGTCAGATTGGTTAGAGGAAGAGGGCTGAGAGCCTGACCCATAAGACTGACCAGATACGTTTTGACTATCAGAGGACGACATGACAATACCGGTTGAAAAGAGAAAGATGGAAGAATTAAAAGACTAGGAGGACTGGAGCACTAACTTTGAAGAAAGCTAGAAAGAGAATGCTGACCGGTTGAAGTTGGGAGAGCGAAGAGGAGAAGTGAAGAAATGAGATGGGTTGGAGGGGTATTTATAAGAGAGAGAGGAGGGTTGGAGTTCGAGGCGACAGGTGGGAGGCTGAGAGGCAGACACGTGTAAAAGGTAATGATGAAGGGGGAAATTCAAATTTTGAATATGGAAGGTGAAGAGTTTTGGGGGGAAATTCCAAAACTGAAAGACCAAGCCTGACGCTTGGACTACTACGGATCAAAAAGGACAGGTCAAGTAAATGAGAGGTTTGAGAAAAAGGCTTGGTGATTTCAGAAAGTTCCAGGTCTGAAAGGAAAGGCTTCGTGACTTAAAAATTCCAGGTCTGATAGAAGGATTTGGTGATTCAGAAGGGAAAAATCTGAGATCATGACTTATGATCCAAAAATCGACAGGTCAGATAGGATGGCTTCGTGAAACCTAAAAGCAACAGGTCAAGCAGAAAGGACAGGTCATGGGGATAACTTGATGATTTCAAAAAAGGACAGGTCATGGGGATGACTTGATGATTTCGAAAAAAGGACAGGTCAAGGGAAAGGCTGGATACTTTCAAAAAAAGGACAGGTCATGAGAGAGACTTGATGGTTTCCAAGAAGGGCAGGTCAGGGGAATGACTTGATGATTTCAAAGGTGATAGGTCAACATAAATATACTTCCCGCCCTTGATGACTTCCTCACAAAGGCGGTAAGTGGAGGACTTCTTGATGGGTATATCCCTATACCCGACCCGGATAACCGAAAGGGACATGTCAAAATATGACCGGTCACTTTCATCAATCACCAAATGAGGTTAACTCTTCGATTGGGATGGGTCAAAAGTTGACCGGTCACTTCTCTTAAAAAAGTGACCGGTCACATTTTGGGCGATAGCCAAAATGTCACTTTATGTTACGAAGGATATTCCGGAAGACCAAAGAGACGGGTTGAGCTCAAGAAATGATCGGGTAACCTTTGAGAAAAGGTGACCGGTCATATCACATTACTTGGCTAACATTGGTCTAGTCTCTTAGGCATGGTGAACCACGTCAAAGACCGAGGGACCACCCCGCCGCTCATCCATCACGAGGCGTACAGTGAAAGGGATGTTTGTCATCTTGCATGGTTGATTGGATTGAGAATATCCATGTTATAGTCATTGATTGAACAGTGCTTCTTGGTTGTATTAGTAGCAAGTCTGTGATTGAACAGTGATTAGATTATGTACAGTGACCTTCCTCCAGGTTTCCTATTTTGTCCATAGGTGAACAGGGGAAGGTCACAAATCCTCCTCTATAAATATGATGATATTGGATAGAGAAGGGGATCCAATTTTTCTCTCACTAAAGTTCACTCTTGAGATATAGTAAGAAATATAATTCGGACTGAGGAGATTTACCCGGTCTAGGTCATACTTTGTGTTCTTGTTCTGTGTATTTTATTACGGGTCGAGTGTGTCCAGGTCAAACCCGGTCAACCCACCCAGCTATATTTACACCATTAGGTGCTACCATCAATTCATCAAAATTGTGGTCCTATTGTAAAGTTTATACGTTAACGAAGAGTAAGATTGCATTCATCAATGCCCTCTTCCACAAATAGGGACACGCAAGCTTTTTCTGATGGGATACTCAATGGAGATGGAAAGCTTGGAAAAGTGATTGATGGAACAAGTGACATTGATATTCTACCCGAGTTCTTTATTCTAGACATAAGTTATCTCCTCAAGAATAACCTATGAAAATAAAATCAAATGTTTGGAAATCCTAAACCATAAAATAGTTTTAAAGCGGAAGGGGGGGGGGAAGGGGGGTGGGGGGAAGAATGTTATGAGTGTTATTGTTGGTTTTGTGAAATCAAGTCGGGGAAAAGGTTTATATATCCCATATGAATTTGGCACCATCCGGTCTAGGACTACCCTGAAGTTCCAAAGAAGACAATTTCGAATGGTTTTATGTTTTGCAATGACATTGAACAAAAATCAAGGTTGAATATTGTCATTTATTGGATTATTTTAACCAAGTCATTGTTCACTCATGGTCAGTTTTATGTTTCTATTTCATAAGTGAATACAAAGACACGATTAAAATTTTTTTTTCTAGATGAAAATGAAAACCTTTACAACCATACAAAAAATATTTTACACCCTGAGGTTTTTTAGAAAATTTAGTATTAAAAGAAACTATGTTAAGTACTTTGTCACCGATGGTATACGAACTTTCATCATTATTTCACTTTGATATATAAACTTTAATTTATATCACAAAAGTACATGAACTTTCAACGTTCTTTCACCGGTGGTCCAATAGGCAGTTTCTAAGTCACATTCAGGTCATTTGGGTTCAAATTATAATTTTATAAATTTAAATTTTATGATTTTGACACCTTTTCTTTTTTTTCTTGGTTCTCCACTCTTGTCTTCATCTTCCTCAAGACCCCCACCATTCCCTCTATTTTTTTCTTCTCTTCCTCTTCCAGCCCCACCCCCACCCCACCCGCACCATTTTTTCTCCTTCCCCTCTTCTTCTAGCCCCCCCACCCCTAGCACCCATTTTTTCATTCTTTTTTTCCTTCTTCTTCTTTCCTTCTTCTTCTTCTTCTTCTTTCCTTTTGAACATGCTAGGATTTTTGCTGGAAGAGGAAGAGAAGTGTACGAACTTTGATGCGGAGTACTTTAGAATAAAAGGGTACGGCGGCCCAATGCAGTATGGTGGGGTTCCTTCTTCCAAACATGACCAGCAACTCCAGGTGTCCAGGATCGGGGCGGCTTCGAGGTGCGGCTGCCCAATATAGCATGGTGGCGAACCCAACAACAATGCGATCCGACGGAAATAGCAGTGGCTCCAAACACTAATTCAATAGGCGGCAGACCCAGCGAACATTAGCAAAAATCCTAGCATGTTCATGTGCTGGGTGGGGGTGGGGCTGGAAGAGGAAGAGAAGAAAAAATGGAGGGGAGGGTGGGGGGGTCTTGAAGAAGATGAAGAAAAGGGTAGAGAACCAAATAAAAAAGAAAAGGGGTCAAAATCATAAAATTTAAATTTATAAAATTATAATTTGACCCCAAATGAGCTGAAGGTGACTTAGAAACTGCCTATTGGACCACCGGTGAAAGAATGTTGAAAGTTTGTGTACTTTTGTGATAGAAATTAAAGTTTATATACCAAAGTGAAATAATGATGAAAGTTTGTATACCATTGGTGAAATTTACCCCTTTTTTCTATGTTATTAAAAATTTATGAGAAATATATTATCTTTATTTCAAAAAAATATTGTATTGAAAAAATTTCAGAATCGAAAAAGATTTTGTTCAACCCCGTGCATGGCACGGGTCAAAATGCTAGTAGACTAAAAAGATCAAACTGGGAAACTTTATAAGGGAAGAATGTAATAATTATTAATGGTCAAATAATATAATGACTTCGTCAAAAGTATCAACTTAACTAGTAAATTATCCCATGCCACACACGGGTTTAAATGAATTTTTTGTCAATTCAAAGAGTACATGACAAAGTGCTTCTAATGATTCATGTCACCTACAATTCATTGGAATTTTGGCAAGTGTGTCCCCAATGATCGCCATCTTTTCACGTGAAAAAACATAAACATTAACTCTTCATATATCAAAGGTGCATTAAAATGATTAAAATACAGACAATATGCACTTTTTTAAATTCATATCTATGCTAAGCGCAAACTCTTGTAAGATGATAGAAATGATGAAGCGACTTAAGATAAGCTTACACATTTACACTATGTTTGGTTCACGAATTTGGTAGAAAGGAAAAGAATAAATTTTGAAGGAATAAACAAAACTATACTCTTATGAATAAGTCACTTCTTAAGTTTGAACTTGTTCTAAGTTTCTCCTTTTTTAGGGGTGCAAACTGCCTGTTAAGCCGGGACTTTGCCCAGGGATTCATGGCTGGTTTTTGTGGTGGCTGTGGAGTGGGTGGTTTTGATTGTCTAAGTCCATTCTCTTTGCCCATGAACCTGCCAATGCAAATTTTTCAAATTGAGCAAATTTGTCCATTCTCTACTACACCACATTCTCCTAAAAGATTACGATTAGAGACTTTATAGTCTATCTGCAACTGCAAGAAAGAAAAATACATAGTTGTATATATCTAGTTCTTTTGTAAAAATACACTTAAAGATAAAGGAGGAAAAATGAAAGAGAATGCCAATAGCTGAAAATCTAATAAAAATTTGACCTCCAAATTTTAACCGAGACACCAAAGCTGGGCTTGGAGCTCTTTAAGCTGAACAGCTTGGGCAGTGTAAGAAATAATTAGGAAAAAATACCATTGTCTGCTCAAGTTCTCCCAACCACAGAACTCTACCTCCTAACTATTACAATTCTCGTACGGATTACAACAGACGGGGAAGATGAACGGCCCCGGAAATAAAAAATAAATAAAATTCTGAATTTATAATTTATTCAGAATATTACAAAATAAACAAAGTTGGAAAATAATTTTCTATATCTTCAAACGGCCATGTTGTACGAGGACATTAGGCACTGGACAGCGAGGACGTTAAGCACTGGACAACGAGGTCTTTAAGAACTGGACAGCGAGGTCTTTAAGCACTTGACAGCGAGGTCTTTAAGCACTGGACAGCAATTCAAGGACGTTATGCACAGGGCTGCGAGGACATTATGCACTAGGACAGAATGCAGCGAGGTCTTTATGAACTGAACCTGCAAAAACAAAACACCGTGGAAGGACAGCGGAGTCGCCGGAGCTGTCCTTAAGGTACTAGGGCCCGCCTACCGTACCGGAAAACGTGGGCACTCTCCTCCCAGGATAAAACCGCTATCGTGTGTGGTGATTGTACGGACCAACCACACACCAACGAACAAGAACAATGTAGGAACGTTGGCGACCGGAAAAAATGAAGGTAATCGCCGGAAAAATTGGCAAGAAAACCAAGAGCTCTCCTCAAAGTTAAACAAGGACAAAAGTGTTAACTTTTTCCTTCTCCTCTTTTTTTTTTCCCACGTATGGATGCTCTAATAAAAAATGAGAAGAGTCCCTCCATTTAAATAGGCTTTTTCATGGCTCTTCATTTTGTAACTTATATGCCATGAAGGCACATTCAATAGCCATGACTCACCATCATTAGTAATATATTTAATGGTGTGTTAATACCACCATTAACATGGGGGTTACACCCATAATGTTTAAAATTCTTCCTATTTAATTGGAGATTAATGGCCAGTTAACTCCGTAAAAGTGGAATAATTTTAAACATTACGTAACGGGTTAACTCTGAGAATCAATTTCTCATTCACCCTTCTACCATTTTCGGCGTATAATATATCAAATTATTTATCTCATTTAAGAGAACACACGTCCATTAATTAACGGTTAAAACCGTTAGTGGACCTATTGATAATTATACCCAAGTTGGTCCATTTAATGCCTAATAAAATGCCAAAAATTCCAACAATCCCCCACATGAATGAAAATTGATTTGGGGGTCGACAACATCCCACGGTTGAAAACCTGCAAAGAACATGTAAGTGTCTCCACTTTTGAACATGTCCCTTGTAAAGTATACCTTCTTTACTGGCAGTTTAGTAGAACGCGATGTCTTTGAACTGTACTGCCGCTTCTGTAAACGATAGTATACCATACACAGATTCCAACCAAACGCCGTTCTGTTCTCATGGTTGTGCCCATTTTGGTCGTGGGACACGCGCCTGGTTCTGCGAGAGTGTTTAGAGGATTAAGCCCAAGATCCTCCGTTTGAAGCGACCACACTTCACTCTTACATAGGTGATTCTTTAAGAGTATCCCGATTACTCCCCTTAGACCACCGTGTCTATTGGTTATGAATCATTGAAGCATATTTATGTGCTAAACCTCATCATTTTCGGGAGTCACTGTCTTCAGCAGGAACAGAAGGGACTGACCAAAGGTTCCAGTACCGCCCCCACAGTGACCTCGCTTTATCCTACAAGTAGGTTGTCCCATTGAACTTGGGTACCAGCCAGGTTGGGTTTTCCTTCATAGGACTGTCCTAGCACAAGGGCTTCAGACCCATTCCTGCCACCAACTTCTCATGCAACTCATTTGTTAACCCTTTGGTTAGCGGATCCGCCAGATTATCTTTTGAATTCACATAGTCAATCGTGATAATCCCAGTTGTGAGAAGTTGTCTAATGGTTTTGTGTCTACGACGAATATGTCTAGACTTACCATTATACATATTACTCTTTGCACGTCTTATTTTCTGATTGACAATCACAATAGATGCAAACTGGTGGGACCGGTTTATCCCATCTTGGAATGTCCTCTAGGAAGTGGCGTAGCCATTCAGCTCCCTCACCACATTTGTCTAAAGCTATAAACTCAGACTCCATGGTGGACCTAGAAATCACTGTTTGCTTTAAGGATTTCCAAGATATTGCTGCACCCGCTAGCGTAAAGACATATCCACTTGTGGACTTCAGGTCTTTACTATCAGATATCCAATTCGCATCCGAGTATCCTTCCAGTACCGGTGGATATCTCGAGTAGCATAAACCATAGTCACGTGTATACCGCAGGTATCTCATCACACGTACAATAGCCTTCCAGTGCTCATCACTCGGATTGCTGGTGTATTTACTCAGCTTACTTATGGCACAGGCTAAATCTGGTCGAGTGCAACTCATTAGATATATCAAACTTCCAATAACTCTCGCATACTCAATTTGAGAGTTACTGGAACCTCGGTTTTTAACCAGGTGTGCGTTGACGTCCAACGGCGTCTTTGTTACTCTAACGTCATCCTTGTTGAACTTGTCAAGGATTTTATCAATATAATGAGATTGGCTCAGTGCTAGACCCTCAGGTCTTCTCACAATTTTAATTCCAAGAATTACTTTAGCCAGACCCATATCTTTCATGTCAAATCACGAGTTTAACATGTCTTTGGTAGTCTTGACCATCTTGTCATTGCTACCAACTATGAGTATGTCGTCTACATATAGACACAACATGACATACCCTTGGGATGTGTTTTTTAGATAAACACACTTGTCTGATTCATTAATTTTGAACCCAGAGTTCATCATTACCTGGTCAAACTTCTCATGCCAAACTTTTGGCGCCTGTTTAAGACCATAAAATGACTTAACGAGTTTACATACTTTCCTTTCTTGACCAGGAACTATAAACCCTTCTGGTTGTTCCATGTAGATCTCTTCTTCTAGATCTCCATTGAGGAAAGCTGTTTTCACATCCATTTGATGAACTTCTAAGTTCCGCAAGGAAGCTATTGCAATTATCATCCTAATGGAATTTATCCTTGACACAGGGGCATATGTATCAAAATAATCAAAGCCCTCACATTGATTGTAACCCTTAATTACAAGTCTGGCTTTGTACTTATCAATGGAACCATCTGGTTTCATTTTCCTCTGAAAGATCCACTTAGAACCTAACGGTTTGCATCCGGGAGGTAGATTCACTAACTCCCAAGTGTGATTCTGCATAATAGAATCAACTTCACTTTTAATTGCCTCTTTCCACTGAGGGCCTTCAGACGAAGTCACTGCTTCACGATAAGTTCGTGGTTCATTTTCTAATAAATATGTTAGAATATCGGGTTCAGTCTCTATCAGAAATGATAGATTCCCCGATTCAAATTCCAAAAAATAAGTTAGGAAATCATTACCAAAGGACTTCTCAGTCCGTGTCCTTTTACTTCGTCTTAGTTCAGTCCTAGTTTCGGTTTCATCAATTATACCGGTATTAGACTGATTCGAGAAACCATCGTTCAACATTTCATCATGTGAACGTTTGGAAGAACTTGATTCTTCCCTCGACTTTAACGGAAATATGTTTTCGAAGAATGTTGCATTCCTCGATTCCATTATTGTGTTCTTATGTACTTCTGGATTATCAGACCTATACACTAAGAATCGATACGCGCTACCACTGTAGCCAATAAAGGTTCCATCAACGGTCTTTGGACCAATCTTTATTTTCTTTGGTGGTGGTGCTAAAACTTTTGCAAGGCACCCCCACACTTTCAGGTATTTATAGGAAGGTTTCCTATTATACCACAACTCGTAAGGAGTCTTATCGAGTTTCTTTCGGGGTATTTTATTTAACAAATAATTGCTAGATAAAATAGCCTCCCCCCACATATTTTAGGGTAGCCCCGAACTGAGAAACATCGCATTCATCATATCTTTGAGAGTGCGATTTTTACGTTCCGCCACACCATTTAATTGGGGTGTGTATGGCGGAGTTACTTGATGCACAATCCCTTGTTGTGCACACAATTCGGCGAATGGAGCTTCATACTCCCCGCCCCTATCACTCCTAATCGCTTTAATTTTGCGATTGAGTTGATTTTCTACTTCATTCTTATACCGAATGAAAGTTTCCAACGCCTCATCTTTACTTTTTAGTAAATAAATATAGCAATATTTTGTGCTATCATCGACAAAAGTGATAACATATTTGTTACCACCTCTTGAAGGCGTTGATTTGAAATCACACAGATCCGTGTGAATTAAATCTAGTGGCTGAGTGGTTCGCTCAATTGTTTGAAACGAACTTCGCGTTGACTTTGCTTCGACACACGTCTCACATTTGTGGGACTGGTCGATGTCAAACTTAGGGATATATTCCATGTTAATTAATTTCCGAAGAGATGCATAATTAACATGTCCTAGTCTTCCATGCCACACATTGGAGGACTCACAAACATAGGCAACAGGAGTTTTATTAATTTTCTCAACAACAGTGAGTACATTAAGCTTAAAAAGCCCATCAGAAATATAACCTTTGCCTATGAATATTCCATTTTTGCTCAAGATCAGCTTATCAGACTCGAACACCATGCGGAATCCATGTTTGTTCAATAGTGAGCCTGACACCAAGTTCTTTCGTATGTCCGACACATACAACACATCATTCAGCGTGAGCTCCTTGTCGGATGTCATCTTGAGCTTAACTTTGCCCACGCCTTGAACCTCGGATTGGGCGGAGTTGCCCATCCACACCTTGTCGCCAGAAGTCTCCTTAAACTCAAAGAGCATGGCCCGATTGGAGCAGATATGACGAGTGGCTCCAGTGTCAACCCACCACTCTTTCGGGTTAGACCCGACCAGGTTGACCTCTGTCACGACAGCACAAAGGTCCATGGCATCTAGCTCCGAGCAGAGAGCTTCTTCCTTCTTCTGCTTCTTCTTCTGAGGCTTCTTGCGGCACTCTGAAGAACGGTGGCCCATAATGCCACAGTTGAAGCATTTCCCCGCGAACTTGGGCTTCGCGACGCCTCCTTTAGGACCAATTTTCTTCTTGTCCTTATTTGGCTTGGGCCCTTTGGAAGAACCCTCTTTGGGGGGATGCTCCACCACATTGACCTTAGCAACAACTACTTTCTTCTCGTGAGTGAGACCCTCTTCATGGATCCGGAGACGAACAAGCAACTGTTCTAAAGTCATTTCTTTCCGTTTGAGCTTGAGATAGCTCCGGAACTCATCCCAAGTCGGCGGGAGCACATGAATAATTGCCGCCACTTGGAATGCCTCACTGACTCCCATTCCCTCATCAGTGTACTCATTAAAAATGAGAATCAATTCTTCAGCTTGACTGACCACGGGTTTGGAATCCACCATCTTAAAATCCAAGACCTTACCGACAACGAATTTCTTCGCACCGGCGTCCTCGGCCTAGTATTTGTTGGACAGTTTAGTCCACAACTCCTTTGCGGATGCAGCCCTGCTATAAACAGCATATAAGGCATCGCTCAAGCAATTCAGGATAAGGTTAAGGCACGTATAGTTATTCGCTATCCAAGCCTCTTTAGCGTGAACTGTTGGCTCATCCGTGTTCTCCCCCACAACAGGGGGATCTTCCCTCAAGTACCTCGCAAGGTTGAGGGTGGTCAGCCAAAATAACATCCTTTGCTGCCATATTTTAAAGCCAACACCTGTGAACTTTGCCGGTTCTTTGACAGAGTTCGCAGGCAGCATGACAGTAGGATGTCCGACCGGTGCGGATGTGAAGACACCCGTGTTCGGTCCAAGTGAGGGAATGACCGGTATGGCCGAAGCCATATTTGGTCCGAGTGGGCTGACCATTGCGGCCGTATCCGCGGTTGGTCCAATAACCGAGGTGACCGGAGCGGACCCCATAGTCGCGCTCGATCCAACGAAGGTGGTGATCGGAGTGGACCCCATGGCCGCACTCGATCCGAAAGGAATGTTGATCAGAGTGGTCTGCCCAACAGAGCCACCCAATCTAGCCGAAATGTTCACAACCAGAGTCTCGGAACTACTCCCGTTTCTGGTGTGAGCGTCAAAACCGAATCCGTCCATACCCGCCATCGTGCACGGATATGACTACTACCTTAAGATTGTTACAATTCTCGTACGGATTACAACAGACGGGGAAGATGAACGGCCCCGGAAATAAAAAATAAATAAAATTCTGAATTTATAATTTATTCAGAATATTACAAAATAAACAAAGTTGGAAAATAAATTTCTATATCTTCAAATGGCCATGTTGTACGAGGACATTAGGCACTGGACAGCGAGGACGTTAAGCACTGGACAGCGAGGTCTTTAAGAACTGGAAAGCGAGGTCTTTAAGCACTTGACAGCGAGGTCTTTAAGCACTGGACAGCAATTCAAGGACGTTATGCACAGGGCTGCGAGGACATTATGCACTAGGACAGAATGCAGCGAGGTCTTTATGAACTGAACCTGCAAAAACAAAACACTGTGGAAGGACAGCGGAGTCGCCGGAGCTGTCCTTAAGGTAGTAGTGCCCGCCTACCGTACCGGAAAACGTGGGCACTCTCCTCCCAGGATAAAACCGCTATCGTGTGTGGTGATTGTACGGACCAACCACACACCAACGAACAAGAACAACGTAGGAACGTTGGCGACCGGAAAAAATGAAGGTAATCGCCGGAAAAATTGGCAAGAAAACCAAGAGCTCTCCTCAAAGTTAAACAAGGACAAAAGTGTTAACTTTTTCCTTCTCCTCTTTTTTTTTCCCACGTATGGATGCTCTAATAAAAAATGAGAAGAGTCCCTCCATTTAAATAGGCTTTTTCATGGCTCTTCATTTTGTAACTTATATGCCATGAAGGCACATTCAATAGCCATGACTCACCATCATTAGTAATATATTTAATGGTGTGTTAATACCACCATTAACATGGGGGTTACACCCATAATGTTTAAAATTCTTCCTATTTAATTGGAGATTAATGGCCAGTTAACTCCGTAAAAGTGGAATAATTTTAAACATTACGTAACGGGTTAACTCTGAGAATCAATTTCTCATTCACCCTTCTACCATTTTTGGCGTATAATATATCAAATTATTTATCTCATTTAAGAGAACACACGTCCATTAATTAACGGTTAAAACCGTTAGTGGACCTATTGATAATTATACCCAAGTTGGTCTATTTAATGCCTATTAAAATGCCAAAAATTCCAACACTAACCCCATTTCAACCCCATCATGATCCTGTCTAATATAAATATGCCAAGTATACATCTCTAATAAAACTAAATTGCACTCATGAAATACAAAGAGGGATTCATCTTCTTATAGGGTATCGTAAAGGTTGTGTTACATCTCTGATAATCAGCGTGTAGGATTAAGTAAAGAGAAATTTACATAAATAGCACTAAAATATAATGACTTTCCCTAAATAGCACTACATATGTTTTTTTCCAATGTAGCACTTTTAGTCATTATCCATTAGTCATTATTCAAGTAAATGTTTGCCATCACTGGTCATTATAGACACTGTTAAGTGCTATTTAGAGAATAAAACAATTTAAGTGCTATTTAGAGAAATGACTTAAGTTTTAGTGCTATTTAGTGCAAATATTTCTTAAGTAATTAATAAATTACCCTTATACTTCTTACGTTAAACAACGTGTAGGATTAAGTGAATAATAAAGTTGCCCGGGAATATATTTATTATATACTTTGAGATGAATGTAAAAATAATTTAAAGCATTTTTAAAATTTTATGATGAATAATATCTAAAAATATACTTTGTAATTTTTAGTGTAACGGATATATGATATCCTTCATAAAAAAAATATATGGATACATGTGCAAATATATTCTTTGTTAATTTCTAAATTTAATCAGCAATGCACACAATAAACATTACATTTTTTAAAAATTTTTCCATTTCTAATGAATAATAATTTAGGATATAAATGGATATTCTTTGATTATGTGATTCATTTCAATCTACATCATATGTAAATAAAATCAATCACAATTTCTATTAAAAATTAACTTTCTAATAATTACTATGTAATACTCCATATTTATTAGATGCTTCATATTAATTTTTTCATTTCGTTCATAAAATATAAAATCTTAATTAATTCATTTGTGCGGGAATTGCATGAGAATGTAATTCCTCTATAGCTCAAGATATAAAGTAAAACTAATGATGTTTAAAGTATAAAAGTATAAGAGTACTTTAAATTCCATGTTGTGTGTTTTTCATATCTTCGAAACAGTTCTCATCACATTGCTCGGCAATGTCATTAGGTGACCCAGGCCCCATGGATGCTCGATTGCCTAATTCTCAAAATTAACAGTTTCCACCCCTCTAACCCTCATCCCCTGGTAAACACCCCACCTGCAATGGTCCGAACACACTTCCCACCTCCTTCAATTGCACCTCACTTAGTTCTTTGTCGGGAACTCACTCTCTTTTTTCAGAGCAAAAATTAGCAGAACCTTCTTAATGATAATTAACACATCAATAATAATTGCAGTAGCTCTATTTCACTGCACCTTACAAAATTCAGTTTATTAGAGCAGTTACAATAATGCCTAACCAATCTAAAAGTGCTGCATCTAAAGTAAATATAGTAAATTAAGAATTAAGTTCTACCTGATCTGAAAAATGGAAGAACACATGAATGAAAATATTAGAAAGCTATCAATGTTTTCAATTTGCCACAAACACATCATCGTGTGTCAAAAGCTTTTAATAGAACGACAACAAATGGATGAAGTGTGCTATTATTATTATTTTTTGGACAGTCGGATCAGGTGCATCTAAGAAATCAAATGTTGAGAGAGGAAAGGAAACGACTCTTTACAATTCATCACTGTGCATTGTCAAGAAATAAACAAAAAGTTAATATCATTTGATTGGTTAAAATGAGAACTTTAACATGAACATCAAACAGATATTTCACTAATGTAAAAAGAAAAGACATTTCTTATCTTATCCATTTTCAAAATTTTGATTTGATAAATCTTCAAATAACATGAAATTTAAGCAATGCTATTAACTGGTTTCAGTTTTTTGCTCATTAAACATTGTATTTCTATTTAGAACAATATTGCATATTTTATCCCATATTAAAGATGATAAATGGAGGGAAGCTTAGGTGGGAGTCATAAACAATGAGATTATAAATAAATGAGATTAATGGAAAGAAGAGTCTACATGAAAGTAGTTCATCTCCTTTTGCTTGAGAATGGACGACCAAAATGCCTTTGATTCCTTTGTGTCTTAAAAGCTAAAGATATCAATAGGATAAGTCATCATTACCAAAGCATTGTACTTCCATATGCGGAAGGTTAGCATTTATCAAAATCGAAAGAATAACTGCAATATCACGACTTAAAACATATTCCAACCTAAAATTTTGAAGCTGGTGAAAACATTATAAAGTAGTGTAAGAATTGCATTGTGATTTCATCACGGAGTAAAACTTTAGCTCAATAAATGTCTTGATGTAATAGCACATAAGTGCAAATATAATAACCCAAGAATGATATACGCACAAACTACTTGATGACTACAAACTGTAATCTTAGTTGTTTTTTTGTTTAATAATGACGTATAACTCTTCTATGTGAGTATGACTAAACTTAACACACTACATGTTTGGCCGACTTTTTTATACAAATATATCTAATATGATGCAAATAGCTTCCTTTTGTTCAAATTGAACTCTTTTTTTGAACAAATATAAGTTCAGAAAAAATACTTTTTTTATGGTACGTAGGGAATATTTCTTAATGAAGACTGAGTAATTGACCAGCCTCAAACTCCTTCCCCTGTTTCATTATCTCTTTGTAAGCATTTGGTTCACAGTGTTTGATAATGTTTCACATGATCCCACAACCTTCTCTAAAGCACTTTCCATTAGATGTCTTCTGCCACCAGAGGCTTGAATTGCATCCACCTGCAAATGTTATTCAGTTAGTATTTGATTTCATTGGTGTGGAAACATCAGTAGATTTCTTGTCATATGATATGCTTTGTGGCACGAAATCTGCTACGTTCTCCAAGCAGTCAATGTCTTCAGAACTGAAAGAGGTGAGGAATATCATGTAGTTTTCCTTAACTAACATTTTGCTCTCATATTTCATGTTTGAGAGCTCAAGCATTTTGCTCCAATAATCACTTTCTTGAATTCCACATGAAAAAATATGGAATCCAAGGGTGTGTAACTACTTTCTTGGATAATGTAATCGAAAATCTTAATTTTTAAGTATTTTTTGTCGGAAGATGGTCTTTTTGGTGGCCGGGGGGAGGGGGAGGTATTAATCACCATATCAATGATAGCAATTAAACAAAAAACTCGCTTAAAAGGAAATCATCACATGCATTAAAGGGATCATTTGGTGCTTCAAAAATCTCAGTTTCAGCATGAATTGGCTCTATATCAAGAACCTAACTCAAGGTAACACACAATGAAATGATATGAGAATCATATAACAAAAATAGAGTGTTCCGAAACACAAAAACAGATATTTCTGGAGTTGTGAAAGAAATATAAAGTCATTACATGTATTCTTTAAAGAGAAGTAAATGTGAAACTCCACACACACACACACACACACAAAGCCACACAGACATGTGCACAGACCTGAGGGTTCTGCATTATTATTCAAAACGAACTAATCTCTTTTAAAAAAATAACTTTGGAGGAAGGGTGACGTACTTCCATATTCGTCTTGATAAAGCAACCCGGAATTCTTCATAGAGCCTTTGACATACAAAAAAATACGTAAAAAGAAAAAATAAAGATAGAAAGATCAAAACAGTCTCAAATTAATATCATTTTGGATGAAAATTAAAATTGAAATTGATATTGATGCAGTGTAAATAACCTACCTACCCGACTGCCACTATCTTCATCCCACCAAAATCCAAAAATTGTTGCCATCGTGACTACAATCTAAACCCTTAGCCCGATCATGGTCTCTCCAAAACAATTCACAGAGAGATAATCGAAGATGAACATCAAACACATAGTTGAATCACAACGTGATATATGACTACCTTCGTATAATTTCTATTTTCAACTCAAACACATAGTTGAATCACAACGCAAATCAATTGATTAATGGGTGCATGAAATAAATGACACTCAGGCATTATGAAGATACCTTGTTTGCAAAATCCTGATGAGAGTTTTCCTGTTTCAGCCGGCTTGTGCTACGGGTTGTTTTCAGCCGGTTGCTACTGCAGGTTGAAGAACTACAATTTGTCACCTGAAATTGATGAAGGTGGGAATAAACAACAATTTATACAAACAATCAATACCTTAACCAAATTAAGCACTAATTAATAGCATAATTTAGAGATGAAGAACCGAAAAATAGAGACCCAATTCTTAAAGCAGGAAATAAAAAGATCCAATTTTGAATTGGCACAGATTTTTCTGGAATCGGCTGAAGAAGGGGGAGTATGGGCTATAGAAAGAGAAAATCTGTTAAATATGTTATGTATATATTTAATATTAATTATGTGATCATTGTAATTATGCTAGTTTACATGTATAGGTTTCCTTACGTAATTAGGAATCCTTTGTAACTATATATACGAGGCTTCTCCCTCATTATTCCTTAATATAGAAAATAATAATTCTTCATGGTATCGGAGCCTCTCGTTGTTCTCCGCCTTTCGTTCGACCTAGCGCAGGCAAAACCCTAGCCGCGCCATCGCCGTCTCTCTCTCTCGACCGTACAGCAGCCGCCGCCGTCTCTCCCTCCTCCATCGGCAGTGCCCAGCGGCTGTCTCCCTCCGGCGGTCTCTCTCTCCGGCGATCTCCCTCCTCACGGTGAGCAACTCCCCCATCGGTCGCAATGTCTGAGAAGCCTTCCGTCACC